ACTGTTTTCAACTGTTCAGGGCAAAATATGAGCATTTTGCAGTTGATTCTGAATTTTTATTTTTATTTGCAAATCAGAAAAAAATGAAGAGGCGAATCCGTTAACCAAGAAATTAAATTGGTGTGGCATAATGAAGCAATGTCAATGCCATGTTTGATAAAGCCTACCCATGGGAGCTAACATAGAACATTGTGCTATGTTTAGCCTGGTGTCCTTCTGAAAAATGACATTTTGATAACTGATAGTTAAAACAATGTGGAGGTGGAGCTATTAGCTTAAGGAGAAGTAAACAATTAGCATCAGTCAGTTTAGTTCTGAGGAAGACTGCAGAAGGAAAATTTTATGCACGAAATTTTTCTGTATCAATTTTCAACATATCTGGCTATGTATTAATCGCTATTTGCAGATTTTAGGTATGAACTTGGCTCAGATTTAGGAATCCTTTTGGTTCAAGTTTATAATGATATAGGTAAATCTGCTACCAAATTTCAGATAGCATGAAACCTTGGTGCATACAAGTTTGATCACACAGCTTCCCTCCCCCAGCCTGGCATATCTGCAGTAGCCTTACCTTTAATAGACATCAGTAGGATCTTACATACTACTCCAGGCCAAGAATTTTATCTGACTTGTTCACCAAATATAACACTGGAATCTCCCCTATCCTACAAGCTGTCAATCCACTGAGACTTTCAATTGATTAAGTAATTAAATGATTAATTTTAAGATTAAAATTTGGTTCGTATCGATTTGGGGTTAACTTAATACATAAAGGTGATATTGATGAGTTATGGAATTTTATCTAACTTGTTCACCAAATATAACACTGGAATCTTCCCTATCCTACTAGCTGTCAATCCACTGAGACTTTCCATTAATTAAGTAATCAATTGACTTAAAGATTAAAATTTGGTTAGTATTGATTTTGGTGATACTGATAAGTTATGGAATTTTATCAGATTTGTTTATCAAAATATGACACAAGAATGTACCCTATCTTCAATTCAATCAAACCTTCAATTAACAAACTAATAAAAAAGTTTTGTAAGTATTGATCTGAGTTGGTTAAGATAAGTTAAATTGTTAAACTGTTCATCAAATGTAACATTGAAATTTCAATCCACTGAAACCTTCAGTTTATCAATAAGTTAGGTGAATAACCTGGGTTAGTACAGTGATTAAAAACCAGGTCAAGCTTACAAGCTCTCGGACTGGTGAATTTGCATAGTTGTGTCTATCGGAACCCAGATGACTGGCATTAGTGGGGCTACACTCATGAGCCCTGACACTTCCAGGTAACATTATACAAACAGCATTTAGTGCCCCTGTATCTGGATGGGACTGAAAATATTGAAAAGATTTTGGAAAAGATCGAAGAATTTCTGAAGCTACTAGTATCCAGGGCTAAATGTACTGTCAAATCTACTCAAGAAGGCCTCCCATGGGACAGGTTACTAAGTTAATTCTTAGACACACCAGGTTACTAAGTTAATTATATGCATCTTTGGAAAAAAATGTCGTGACCAGGAAAGGGTGGTTACTGTGGTCAGGAGGCTGGTTAAGTCTGTGGCTACTTGGTCAGGTGTGATTGTACTACTATTTGATTCTGTCATGATACAACTGCTAGGTTGAAAATTTTGTATTTGATTTTGTTCCCCCTCCCCCCCCCCAGGTCCAGGAATGGAACCACCCAGGTTCACCCAGGAGCTTGCGGATGCCCGCGGCGTGGAGGGGACCCCCGTGGGACTCGTCTGCCGCGTCACCGGCAAGCCCGAACCCTCCGTCGTGTTCTACCGCGACGGAAACGTAATTCACGAAAGTGAAGACTTTAAGGTGAGAACTGATAGATGAACAGTTACTTAAAGTAATTCACGAAAGTGAAGACTTTAAGGAACTGATAGATGTAAAGATCTTTACTTAAAGATTTGAGTGGCCACGTCATAGGCAAGCCCGAGCCGCTTTAAGGTGAGAACACATAGATGAAACGTCTGACGTTTTCAAAATCATATCCAGTTGCTTGGGTAACTGCTTTTTGGCAGATGAACGTTTACTTTAAGTAATTCACGAATGTGAAGACTTAAATGTGAGGACAGGTAGATGAACAGTTAGCAACAAGCCCGAACCCTCCGTCGTGTTCTACAGAGACGGGAACGTAATTCACGAAAGTGAAGACTTTAAGGTGAGAACGGGGAAGGTTTTCATGTTTCATCGTCACTACAGTTATCACCAGAGTCGTTTCGTTCACAGCATAGGAGTCATAGCCTGGGTACCATCAGGATTTTGCTAGGCTACCCCAGAAAAAATCTATCATAGCAGAGCAAAACCCAGGCTATAGGGGTCAGGTACAGAAGGACAGCCTTGTGAGGCATTTTGACTGCCCAAAACATAATGACTCTCTGGCATCCTTCCACAGAAAGTTTTAAACTTCATAGCCCTAAGACACTATTTCCTGCATTTTGATGGACACATTTTGTAGTGTGGGGGGCCCTACGCTTGAACTGTGCTAGCTTGAACACTGATCATTGCTCAAACAAACAGGTAGCAATTATAACATACCTGTATGACACTAAAAAGATTTTGTCCATCTCTAAACAGAGCTGAAAAATAGTATGATCATGGACATGTTGTGTGTGCAACTTTGTGTCAGAGTTCTGTATCAACTTAGAAAAACTGCCACAATTGTCTGCATTGGGCTATGCTTTTCCTGATCTTGTAACATTTTCTTTACAGATTGTTATACAAGGAGACCTCTGTTCACTGCTTATACCAGAGGTTCTGGTGCAGGATGAGGGGAAATACATGGCACGGGCCGTCAACCCTGCTGGGGAAGCTACAACTGCCGCTGTCCTGAGGGTGGAAGGTAAGGAAAACAAACAAACAAACAAACAAACAAACAAACAAACATGCAGGTACAGGATGAGGGGAAATACATGGCACGGGCAGTCAACCCTGCCGGGGAGGCAACAACTGCTGCTGTGCTGAGGGTGGAAGGTAAGAATAAACAAACAAACAAACAAACAAACAAACAAACATGCAGGTACAGGATGAGGGGAAATACATGGCACGGGCCGTCAACCCTGCTGGGGAGGCTACAACTGCTGCTGTGCTGAGGGTGGAAGGTGAGGGTAAACAAACAAACAAACAAACAAACAAACAAACAAACAAACAAACATGCAGGTACAGGATGAGGGGAAAATACATGGATAATAGCCTCCACCAGGCTTCAGGAGGCGCCTGGAAAAAGTAGAAATTGGCCAAATAGACAATGTCAGATAATATGATCAGGGAAGGTACATGTAGTACAGCTTGCCACTCTGAAGAAGTGTACTCCTTTAGCGGACCAACTCCTCTGGCATATTATTTCTGTCTATTTGGCCAATTTCAGAAGTAGTATTCTCAGTGGCCTCTGAAGCCTAGTAGAGGCTAAATGGATAATAGGGATAAGCTAACAAATACACAGAAACATAAACATATTGTTTTCCTCTCAAAGTACTCTGCACTTTGGATCCACCTTGCAAAGAAAAGTACAAATCTACAAACTGTTTTGTTGATATTTTCCATAACAAATTTTTGACCTGTTTCACAGGAGAGGCTCGACCCCCGACCTTCATCAAGAAACTGGACAAACAGCTCAAGGTCAAAGAAGGCCGAGTTGTGATGCTGGAGGTCATGGTGGACGGCTGTCCCAAACCCAAGGTGAGAGTAGGCGAAGGTCGTGAGGAACAGCAAAAAATGTGCAGGAATGTCATCAGATACATGTATCAACATCATCCACTGTATTCTGCATCTGTAGTCATAAAAAAAGAGACACATGTCATCCGAAAATTTGGGGTAAGTCCCAATACTTTGTTAGTGTTGGGAGTTAAAGCTTAGTCTTTATTTCATAATGACTTGTACCAACACAGATGAACTTTCATGCTAAGAGACATGTATATTTAGTTATAATTGATGATTTAGTACACAGTCATGTACATGTACAATGCACATAATACACTGTACCATGAGTACAAGTAGGTTACTTTGGTAGAGCTCTTACTAGAAGCAAACCCAAAAGCCTCATGCTGTCTTTCCAGTGTCTACATAGTTTGCAATCCTGTGATTCTTTTGTCCTTTGTATGCTCACAGAGCAGTATACTAGTAGATGCAAGTGATACAGTGTCCAGCTAATGTACAAGGAAAGAAATTTAGAAAAAAAGTAAAATAAACAAACAATGTATGCTGTTGAAAAAGGTAAAAATTAAGTATAAAGTATAAATTAAGTATCAAGTATAAAGTAAGAATTAAGTAAAAAGTAAGAATTAAATAAAATAAACAAACAATGTAAGTTGTTGAAAAAGGTAAAAATTAAGACAAGTATAAAGTATAAATTAAGTATTAAGTATAAAGTAAGAATTCACTAAAAATTATCAATAATGTAAAATGTATAAATTTTGCCATCAAACTGAGAAAAATGTGCTGATGATTTTCCAGGTGAAGTGGTTTATGGATGAAGAGCCGGTGATGTCGCAGGACTATGACATCATCGTGGATGGCGGCCGCCACGCCCTGACGATTAAGGAGGTGTTCGATGAAGACGCCGGAGTCTTTAAGTGTCGCGCCAAGAACTCCCAAGGAGAAGTCACCTGTACCTGTCAGCTGTCCGTCGTTCGTAAGTCTCGTCTTTTTTCTTCATAGTTAGGCAATATTCAGAACTGTGCATCTGGTTCTGTGCCTGAATGGGTTAGGGTTAGGATCAGGAACGGTTCTGGATAGTCTCTGTTGTATCCAGAACTGTGCCTGTCTAGTTCTATGCCTGAATTGGTTAGGGTTAGGATCAGGCATGGTTCTGGATAGTCTCCATGTATCCAAGAATATAGATCTGCCCCAGGCATGGTTCTGGATACCCTGGACTAGTACTATCCAGTACTGTGCCTGACCATGGCTCCAGATAAAGCAAATTTCTGAACACAACATTACCAATCATGAGTTCCCAGCTCGGGCACCTTCTATTCCCATGGTAACTGTTGCCATGGAGATGCATCCAGATTGACTGCACTGCCACCTGATCATGGCCTTCAGCCTTGTTGCCGTGGAGACAATCCTAAGGTCGTCCAGCTATGTCTGACCTTGACCTCACGGATAAGAGCCAGTCTATTTGCTGAGCAAACAAGCCAGGACAAACTGGCATTTTGTCCCTTCTTCAGTCAAGACAACCTTAAAGTTGAAATTTGTGCATTGTGAAAAACTAGAATGTTTTAACCAGATCAAGTTTCACTGAAACCAGATCAAGTTTCCTGGAACCAGATCAACTTTTCTAGAACCAGATCAAGTTTCTTGGAACCAGATCAAGTTTTTTTTTCTAGAACCAGATCAAGTTCCTGGAACCAGATCAAGTTTCAAAGAACCAGATCAAGTTTTCTAGAACCAGATCAAGTTTCTTGGAACCAGATCAAGTTTCCTGGAACCAGATCAAATTTCCTGGAACCAGATCAAATTTCCTGGAACCAGATCAAGTTTCTTGGAAACACACCAGAACTTTTTCCTTTGAACCGCAATGTACAAGAAAATCAATTTACAATGTTAAACCTTTTGTTTCCTACAGCACCTTCCAGTGATGAGGAAAGGGAGAGAGCAGAAGCATCTGTTGTGCAGCAGCCAGTGGTGCAACCAACTGTGCAACCAGTAGTGCAACCAGCTGTGCAACCTGTTCTAGTAGAGGAACCACCCATGGAAGTCGAAAGGTAAAATCATAAGGGGACAAGCTCTTTAGTTGCTTACAGGCTAACTTTACACTTGCCAGAAGTTAGGTCAGTTGAGCCAATTATTACCAGTTATATTACCATTATCTTGTAAAATATTTGTGGCATAGATTAACAATACATAAAGAAAGATGACAGGCACTAAGCAAGAATCAAGATCTCTACTTAGTCTAGTAACCCACTGAGTTCACTCTGAAAGTTTCTGTATCAGTCTGTAACAAGCAGGTCCTCTTCTTTAACCTTCATCTTGTTGAAGATTCTGATGTCTTTCGTGGGTTGCTTCGTTGAGAACGGTTGTTGCCAACTGGAGTCAAATGTTTGAAAGTTTCTCCTAGCTAGCTTGGTTCTGACTGACATGTAATATAACGGCAATGGCAGGGAAACACTGGCTGAACTGCAGTGCTATAATTACAGCAGTGACATCATGCATCATCACAATGCAGTTTTGAGTCAGCCATAGAGCTGGGCTGATGTCATTTCTATTGTTAAAGGCTAGAGATATTTTTGTCATTCTTGTCAGCCCCCCCCCCCAACCCATTATACAACCAGCCATCCCAAATCTTACACAAGCAATTAAGTGCACCTAACGCTGGCATGGGCAATTTTACCCAAAAGGCCTTTTAGAATCCATAATCTTGCTTGACCAGAAACAAGATGCGTCCTCACTATAGTTATGACCCTTCAAAATAAATCCAACCTTCCATGTGTGTCTGTATTATTATACAGGTGTAGTGGTTAGAAACCTTGCCTCTGCTGCAGAGAGTTGAGCATATGATCTTTGGCTATTGGCCATTTGTCTACTGAAAGGATTGCAAGGTAGTAGTCTTGAGTCAGCCATACAGATAGCCTGATGTCATGGTCGGATATTTCTGTTACTCTCAGGACACACACTTATACAATGCCCCCCNCCCCACCACACACACACACACAACTACTACTACACTACTATATA